TACAACTTTATTATAAACACTTCATACAGAATGCCTTTAACTTCAAAACAGGGGGGAAAGGGGGAATGGCATTTATAATGCTGGAGTAGCAGCAGCAGTGAGTCTATGCCTCCAGGGCCCTCTTGTTAGTTTTGTAGCAAAACCGTTTAAAAAGATGGCAACATTATCTTACACTAAAAAAAAAAAATCTATATTTAGAAATATAGCCATGCCTGTGAAGCTCTAAAGAACAAAGATCAGCAAGTTTTTAAAAAGTCAGGTATGTGGGACACAAGACCTAAGGTGGGCAATAGGCCTATTCAGAAAACAAATGAACAAAAAATACACAAGGATATAGATTATATAAAAATACAAAGAGTAATTTAAATTAAGCTCAAATTACAAACATAATTGAAAGATATTCCAGCCTAACCAGTAAAATTTGAGGAAGTGGAGACACCTGGTAGCCAACAGTAACTGTATGGAAAGGCCACAGCATGAAGACGACACTAAATTTAACGTGATGTTTTTCAGTGTAAAAGAGGAGCTAAATTCAGAGTTTTCTTTTGTAGCTACAAGAATATAATGTCACATAGCATAGAAGAAAATATCCTGTTCAGCTTTGTGCAGTTCCATTTGAACCAAAAAAGAGGAATATCTTAAGGAAGGGTGACTCGAGTAGCATCACAAATAAAATAAAGGAATTAAGCTCAGATCCTATGATTTGTGTCCCCTTTTCCTCTCCTGAGGACAGACAGAAACTGAGTGGGGATAAATAATTTAAGTGACTTCCTTTAATTCCTCTGAAACAGCTTGACTCTGAGAAATTGCCCCATCAGTGGGATGCTACTATTAAAGTAAGCCTTTGTGCAGATGAGATGCAAAAAAGAAAGTCTGCCCAGAGATAATCAAACACAGAGAATTAAAGTCATTTCTGATGAGGAAGCAGAGTCACTCTTTTGAAATGCTTTTTTTCAGGATGAAGGGGGGACTGGGTAGGAGGCAAGTAAGCCAGAGCAGACTGTGGACTCCTTTTCTTTTGTTCTGCAATCCCTTGATAAAACCTACCCATTTCACTGCTTCTCTCACCTTTTGTTAAGCTCAGAAACTGCAGTGGAGGGGCAGGTTTCTATTTTCTTTTGAGTAGTACCACTGTGTCTTTAAGTCAGAAAAGCCCTGGAATCAACCACTGCTTAGTTGCCAGGAAATCTGGCATCAACTCCTACAGGAATCCTGTGAGTACAGTACCCTAGATTAAAAGGCTGAGTGCTTTGGGAGTATGAGAATCATGATTTATTTTTCCATATTAAATTAGTAAACAGAGAAGAAAGTAATCAGTCATTCTCATTTTGAAAAAATTTTCTATAGCTAAAATCAGGCATTCAACATAAAACTTAGACTCAGAGAAATAGAACATGTCAAAAAAGACCTTATTATTGCGGAATCATTTGAAATTCTCTACAAAAATTCCAAAACACTTGGAGGTTTCTGGAAGAGGGTCACGCATGAATTTAAATGGAAATTAATTTCTTCAAGAACCTCCCACTTCATTAGGATTGACTCAAGGGAACAGAATGCTACCCACACTTTGCTCCTTTATCCCCTTTCAAAAATCAACAGCTTGTTAAGGTATCAACAAGTAGAATAGGGTTGGCTTTCCTTAGTCGCTCTCTCTCCATGTTCTCTATTCCAGAGAGCCAAAGTTGATTTGACGGAGAAATTTCCCCTTCCTCTAAGAGTTCTTTGCCAAACTCCCCTGGCAGTGGGCCTTCTCATTCTACTGATTGCTTGTGCATTCATGCTGTACGGCTCTTTGTCCTCATACCAAACATAATCTGGGGCTGGAGGCAGGTCTAAAATTAAGTTGGTTTATACTTGCCTTAATATAAAACAGACTTGGTTGCATTTCAAGCCCTGTAGGTTTGTTTTACATAACGGAATCACTTGTTAGAATGGATTTTGCCCTAGTATTTATCTTCTCAATCACTCAAAGGCTTAATTGACTGTTCAGAGATCCATTTCAGTCTCTAAATTTCCCACCCTTCTCACTCACCTGGAGAGTAACTTACCTGGTTCCATTAATCTTGACCTGTGTATAATGCATAAAGTGGGATCTAGCACCTTTAGCTCTCAAATTGCAGACCTTCAGCCCCTCTTCTCAGCCACAAACTCCGTATAAAATTTCTATCAAATCTATATATTGTATTTTCCCCAAAATAAATCAGTGGCACAACATGTAGAATTACAACTTAATAAATCCAAAAATATCCTTTTTATGAAATTTCAGAAAGGCTATAATGATGGAAGATTAAAAAAATGAACAATAAAGATGAAGTTAGAGAGTAAAAGGCTTTAACCTCTCTTCAGCAGAAAAAGACAGTCACATTCACCTGGGAAAGAGAGGCCAGGGAGTTTCAATAGCTAAAAAAGGTTCATAGCAAATAATTAAAGATGCTTTTCTTATGCTGGAGATTGACCTTGAGTTATAAATATGATTTATTTGAAGATGAAATAACAAGGAGATGAGACTTCTAAGGAAATCTAAAAACTTTTCTTCTGTATTTTTATGTGTATAAATATGCATACTATCTATTCACATACATATTGTATACATACACAACCCAGGCAGTCCCTGGGTTACGGACAACCTGACTTACAGCATTCTGTACTTATGAACTGGCTCCCAAGGCTCTCCATAAGGATAATTTATAATTAAATAATTAACAATTCAGGAACCAGTTTCTTCTGTGTGTGTAAACAAATCCACATGGTGTAAATAGTTCCTCGGTGCAGCATCTTTACGCTAGCGGCTAGTCTCGTAGATAGCTGGAGAAGCAGCTAGTAGAAACTCAAGAACACCAAGAATCGGAAGATCCGAAGCCAAGAAAGTTTACGACAAAAGAATTAGCTGAAGCCTTTCATCTCATTAAAGCAGGATTTGCTAAGCTTGACGAGAAAGATCCTAACATGGAGCGGTTTACAAAGGTTTACCATGCAGTTATTGAGAACATCAGCTGCTACAAGGTCATTTGTGATGAAAAAAAGAAAAAGCCTGTGCAAACAATCCTAGATAACTTTTTCAAGAAACCAACTTCAGTGGTCAGCTTCCGTCCTCCAGCAGCAGAATCAAATCCTGATTCTCCAGCACCCGCTCCATCCTCTCCAGCACCATCTCCATCGTCATCTTCCGATTAATGTTAGCTACATTCTTGCCTCAAAAACGCCCCTTCCGGTACGACACTGATGCAACATCAGGTGAGTGTTGGCCTTTAATATTCTTTTTTGAAATTTCTCCTATCTCCTATCTAAACTTTTTGTATGAGTTTGTTTTTATGTTCTGTTTGTTTCAATTAAAAGAAAGAGCACAATAGTTTCTGTAACTTATTATAGTACAAGGGTATTATTATAATTATTACAGTATATACTGTATTATTATTACCACATAGGAGCCATTATAGTATTATTATTATTACCATATGTGTGCTATTTGTCAGGGATATGAGTTACATACAGATCTGACCTAAAGTCATTCTCAGAAACATATCTCATGCATAACCTGGGGACCACCTGTATTAGTTACATTTATTTATACTTTACTAAATGAGTACAGCCATACAATTGGGTACTTTGTCAATGTGTTTAGCTGGATATGATTGGCCAGATCTATTCTGGTCCCATCTGGCCTGCTGGAAAACAAATACTGTGATACACTATTGTCAAATTACAGTTCAATAAAGGAACAGAAGATAAAAGGGGCACTAAACTGACTGATGGACCCTGACAGCAAAGTCAATACAAGGTGAACTTCTTATGCTGCTGTCCTACTTTCTAGGTGGTGTTTCAACTCGATAGTAAACTAATTTTTAATTCAGTGGTCTATGAGTTAATGCATGATTAATTAATAAATATGTAGATGTACATTTAAATTATGTCAAATAGAACAATTTTGTGATTTTAATAGACATAAAAATGTAAAAACTAGCCTACCTGATTATGCCATATGGGCTATAAATCAGAAAGTTGTGGTTGTTTTGTTGTAGCTGTTGAAAATATACAGCTATAAATCTGCAACGGGGCCTCACTCATTCATAAAGAATCAATAGGAGTTCTTATGACAAAGACCCTACTGTGCATCTACTTTTGAGAATCAACTATGTTTCCTTACCATAGAGCCCTTTCCTTTCCCAGGTGTCCTTTAAGTACAGATTCATTACCATTATTGATCCTTCACTTATCAAAACATACAGCAATATATAATGCTTCCTTTTGCTTTTTTTTTTTCCTTTTCCAAGCACTGGAGAATGCTTCATTCTGAATTCGAGACATTTCAGTTTGAATGATACTTCATATTTCTCATAGAAATAAACAGTTCTTCACTAAGAAAATAACAAAAAATACAATTTGAAAAATGACTGAAAAAATTAAAATGTTACTTTAAAAAATCACTTAATGTAAAAGAAAGCATAAAGGAAGAATAGAGGAATAAAAAAGATATGAAACATAAAGAAAACAAAAAGTAAAAAAGCAGATGTAAATCCAACTATATCAATAATAACATAATTTATGGATGGATTAAACAATTCAATCACAAGGCAAAGATTGTCAGACTGTGTATAGAAGCAAGATTTCCTATAATCCCAGCACTTTGGGAGGCCAAGGCAGGAGCCCAGGAGTTCATGACCAGCCTGGGCAATATAGCAAGACCCTGTCTATACAGAAAATAAAAAAACTAGCTGGGCATGGTGGTATGCACCTGTAGTCTCAGCTATTTGGGAGGCTGAGGTGGGAGGATCATTTGAGCCCAGGAGATTGAGGTTGCAATGAGCTATGATAACGCCACTGCACTCCAGCCTGGGCGACAGAGCAAGACTCTGTCTCTAAAAAAAATAGAAATAACAAAAGCAAGATCCAATTATACACTATCTACAGGAGACATGCTTTAGATTCAAAGATACAAATAGGCTAAAAGTAAAAGGATGAATAAAAGATATATCATGCAAACAGAAACCAATACTAATAACAGATAAAACAGCTTTAAAACAAAATATGTGATTAGTGATTAAAAGGGACAGTTTATAATCATAAAAGGGTCAATCCATCAGGAAGAAATAACAATTGCAAAGATACATGAACCTAACAACAGAACCCCAAAATATATCAAGCAAAAACTGACATAATTGAAGGGAAAAATATATAATGTAACAATAATAATTAGAGAATTCAACATCTAACTTTCAATAATGGCTAAGAACAACTAGGGAGAAGAACAGGAAATATAAGATTTGAACTACACTACACACAAACTAGATCCAACAGACATCTATATAAACACTCTACCCAACAACAGCAGAATAGATATTATTCTCAAGTGTACATGGAACATTCTTAAGGAAAGATCATATCCTAGCCCATAAAACAGGGCATAATACATTAATAAAGGATTGAAATTGTACAAATTGTGTTCTCTGATCACAATGAAGTGATTAGAAATTAATAACAAAAAGATATTTGAAAAATTCATAAATATGTGGAAATTAAACAGCACACACCTAAGTAATTGGTCGGGGGAAAAATCAAAAGAGAAATTAGAAAATGCTTTGAGAAAACAAAAATGAAGATACAATATACCAAAATTTATGGGATATGCTAACATAGTCCTTACAAGGGAACTTACAGACATAAATAACTACATTAAAAAAAAAGAAAACTGCCGGGCGTGGTGGCTCACGCCTGTAATCCTAGCACTCTGGGAGGCCGAGGCGGGTGGATCGCTCAAGATCAGTTCGAGACCAGCCTGAGCAAGAGCGAGACTCCATCTTTACTAAAAATAGAAAGAAATTATCTGGACAACTAAATATATATATATAGGAAAAATTAGCCAGGCATGGTGGTGCATGCCTGTAGTCCCAGCTACTCGGGACGCTGAGGCAGAAGGATTGCTTGAGCCCAGGAGTTTGAGGTTGCAGTGAGCTAGGCTGAAGCCACGGCACTCACTCTAGCCTGGGCAACAAAGCAAGACTCTGCCTCAAAAAAAAAAAGAAAACTATCAAACCAACAATCTAATTTCTCACCATAAGACTAGACAAAGAAAACCAAACCTTAAATAAGTGAAAGGCTAGAAATAATAAGGATTAGCAGAAATTAATGAAATAGAGACTATTAAAACAATACAGAAAAGCAACAAAATCAAAGCTGGTTATTTGAAAAGGTCAACAAAATTAACAAAACTTTAGCTACAGGGAATGAGAAAACACTAAAATTACTAAAATCAGGGATGAAAGAGGGGACATTACTACAAAACTTAAAGAAATAAAAAAGATCATAAGGGAATATTATGAACAGCTCTATACCAACCATTAGATAACCTACATGAAATGGACAAATTCCTAGAAAATTACAAACTACTGAAACTGACAAGTCAGGGGAAAAAAATTAAAAAAGCAATTGGAAAATAATTTGAGAAAACAAAAATAAAGACAGAATATACCATGCAAAATTTATGGAATACACTAACATAGAAAATCTAAATAGAAGAGAAGGGAACATTTCCAATCTCATTCCATGAGGCCAGTACGATCCTATTAGCAAAACCAAAGACATTACCAGAAAACTATGAAAAATATTTCTTATTAATATAAACACAAAAATCCTCAACAAAATAACCAACAAGTCAAATCCAGCAATATATAAAAGGATTATATGCTATGACCAAGTGGTATTTATCCCAGAAATGCAAAGTTTATTTAAAATATGAAAATCAGTTAACAAAATACATTGTATCTATAGAATACTGGATAAAAACCCCATCATCATCTCAATAGAGATAGAAATTTTGACAAAATCCAACATTGCTTCATGATAAAAACACTCAACAAGCTAGGAATAGAAGGAAATGTCCTTAACCTGATAAAAGGCATCTATTTTGAAAAGCCAGAGATAACATCATAATTAATGACGAAGAACTGAAGTCTTTCCCTCTAGGATCAGAAATAAGACAAGAGTGTCCACTCTCACTACTTCTATTCAACAACGTGCTGGATGTTCTAGGCAGGGAAATTAGGCAAGAAAAGTAAATAAAAGGGATCCAGATTGAAAGAAAGAAGCCAACTATATTTGCAGATGACATTATCTTATATTTAGAAAATCCTAAGGAATCAATTAAGAAACTAATAAACAGGCCGAGCGCGGTGGCTCACGCCTATAATCTTAGCACTCTGGGAGGCCGAGGCGGGCAGATTGTTTGAGCTCAGGAGTTCGAGACCAGCCTGAGCAAGAGCGAGACCCCGTCTCTACTAAAAATAGAAAGAAATTAATCAGACAACTAAAAATATATAGAAGAAATTAGCCAGGCAGGGTGGCGCATGCCTGTAGTCCCAGCTACTCGGGAGGCTGAGGCAGCAGGATCGCTTGAATGCAGGAGTTTGAGGTTGCTGTGAGCTAGGCTGAAACCACAGCACTCTAGCCCGGGCAACAGAGTGAGACTCTGTCTCAAAAAAAAAAAAAAAAAAAGAAACTAATAAACAAGTTCAGTAAGGTTGCAGGTTATAAGAGCAATATGCAATAATTAATTGTATTTCTACATAGGAGCAATGAAGAAACCAAAAATGAAATTAAAAAAACAATTCCACTTATACTAGCATCAAAAAGAATAAAATATTTATGAATAAATTTAACAAAAGAATTATAAAACTTGTACATTGAAAATGTAAAACATTGTTGAAAGAAATTAAAGAAGACTAAAATAAATGGAAAAACATTTATTATGGGTTGAATTGTGCCCTCCAAAAATATATGTTGACCTCCTAACCCCTGGTACCAGTAAATGTGACCTTATTTTGAAATAGGGTATTTGCAGATGTAATCAAGTTAAGATGAGTTCATACTAGATTAGGGTGGTCTCTAATCCAATGACCAGGGTCCTCATATGAAGAGGAAGTTTAGATACAGAGACACACAGAGAGAACACTATGTCACAGTAGAGGCAGAGATTGGAGTGATGCATCTACAAGCCAAAGAATTCCAAGAATTGCCAGCAACCACCAAAAACCAGGAGATAGGCATGGAACAGATTCTCGTTCAGAATGCCCAGAGGGAATCAACCTGCCAACACTTTGATTTCAGACTTCAAGCCTTGAGAACAATAGAAGAATAAATTTCTTTTATTCTAAGCCACTGGTTTGTGATGCTTTGTTATGGCAGCCCTAGGAAACTAATACAACACCTAATGTTCATGGATTGGAAGACTTAATATTGTCATGATGGCAATAGTCCCCAAGGGATTTACAGGTTCAATACAATCCCTATCAAAAGTCTTAGTAGAAATTAACAAGCTGATCCTAAAATTCATATGGAAATTAAAAGGATTCAGAATAGCCAAATAAATCTTGGGGTGGGTACAGAACAAAGTTGGAGGGCTCACACTTTCTGATCTCAAAACTCACTAGGAAGATACAGTTATCAAGGGCCGGGCGTGGTGGCTCACACCTGTAATCCTAGCACTCTGGGAGGGCAAGGTGGGTGGATGGCTCAAGGTCAGGAGTGAGACCCCGTCTCTACTAAAAATAGAAAGAAATTAGCTGGACAACTAAAAATATACAGAAAAAATTAGCCAGGCATGTTGGCACATGCCTGTATTCCTACTCAGGAGGCTGCAGCAGAAGGTTCACTTGAGCCCAAGAGTTTGAGGTTGCCATGAGCTAGGTTGACGCCATGGCACTCTAGCCCAGGCAACAGAGCAAGACTCTAAAGGAAAAAAAAAAAAAGATATAGTTATCAAGACAGTGTAGTATTGGCATAGAGATAAATAGATCAGTGGAATATAACTGAAAGTCCAGAAATAAATCTACACATGTATAGTTGATTGATTTTAACAACAGAGTCAATACAATTCGTTGGTGGGGAACAAAGTGTTTTCAACAAATGATGCTGGGACAACTAGATATCCACATGCAAAAGAACAAAGTTGGACCCCTACCTCACACCATATATAAAAATTAACTCAAAATTAATCAAATTTCTAAATGTAAGAGGTAAAACTATAAAACTCTTAGAGGAAAAACATAGGCATAAATTTTTGTCACCTTGGATTTGGCAATGGTTTCTTAAATATGACACCAAAAGCGCAAGCAAAAATAAACTGGATATCATCAAAATGAAAAACTTTTGTGCTTTTAAGGACACCATAAAAATTATTTCTTCTTGTTCTCATGAAGGGGAAAAAATAAAAATAAAAAAATATGTAGAGCCCACAGAATGTATGAATATTTTTTAGAAATCATATACCTGAAAAGAGACTTATATCTAGAATATACAAAGAAGACTTAAAATTCAGTAACAAAAGACAAATGACCCAACTAAAAAATGGCCAAAGTATCCAAACAGACCTTTCTCCTAAGATATAGGAAGAGTAAATAAGCACATGAAAAGATGGTCAACATCATTAGCTATCGTGAAAATGCAAATCAAAACTACAATGAGATACCATTTCACATCCACTAGGATGATGCTCAGGTTAAACTGTATCCCCCTTCCCAGTCCCCCAAGAAGATACAAGAAGATATGTAGAAGTCCTAACCCTAGTTCAAATGCGACCTTATTTCAAAATAGGGCCATTGCAGATGTAATTAGTTAAGTGGATGGACCCTTAATTTAATACGACTGGTGTCCTTATAAAAAGAGCAGAAAGACACACAAGAGGATGGCCATCTGACAGCAGAGGCAAAAACTGAAGTGATACATTCACAAGCCAAGAAATACCAAGTAATGGCAGCAAATAACAGAAGTTAAAAAAGGCAAGGATGGATTCCCCTCTAAAAGTCTCAAAAGGAGCATGGCCCTGCCAACTCCTTGATTTTGGACTTCTGGCCTCCAGAACTATGAAACAATAAATTTCTGTTGTTTTAAGCCACCCAGTTTGTGGTACTTTGTGACAGCAGCCCTAGGAAATGAATACAGATGGCTCTAATAAAAAGAAGACAGATAATAACAAGTGTTGACACAGATGTGGAGATACTGGACCCCCCCCCCATTCAC